ACTCTGAATTCATTCTATCAGAAATGTGCACATTAAGTCCATGTAAAATTCTTTCATCCACAATGTTACTAGTCGAATCGAATAGCTTAATGAAATAATTACGAGCCAACGCTTCTAACTCACTATCTCCCTCTACTTTATCTCCCGTATCTGACTCAAGCACATGAATTTTATTTTGGCGTTTGCGAGAGGAAGCAAACAAATGAAAGTAAGTGGTGTTACTGCCACTGTATTTGATCCAATTCGATCGTGTGTGTTGGTCCCAATAAAATTCTGCTTTGTCACTTTCCATATTTAATTGAAGTTTTGTTTCAATAATGTCACCAAGCACATCATCCGTAGGATTTTGTGCCATAAGGTCTGCTAAACACGACTTCAGACCCGTCTCCGTTATACATCTCGATTTTCGAATTTCACTAAACCATATGTCCAACCCTTTTCAAAATGTCTCTAATTTACTTAACAATGAACTTGTCTCAAATGTCCATAATTTTCGTACTTCATTCTCACACGACTCCTCTAGTAGTCAAGTAGATTCAAAACGGAAGTGCCAATGACGATTTTCAGCAACACCTCCTATTGTGTCTAGAATCAAAAGACAATGATCAGATAACGAATGTACCATATGTGTAACCGAAAACTGAGGGAAAAGGTTGCTCCATACAATATTTTCCACACAACGATCAAGTCTCTATCAAATGTTGTTTGCCTCCGTACGCCAACGTTCTCACGTGAAAGAGGAACCAATAAATCCCAAATCATCCAAGTCACAATCATCTAGTGTTTTGCGAAAATCTTCCATTTGACGCTCGTTTCGAGTTCGACCACCCCTATTCTCGAAAGAAAACAAGATTTTATTGAAATCGCCAATGACAACCCAAGGTATTTCGGGAGTATCATTCAACCGTCTCAAAAGGTTCCAGGACTCAGCACGTCTTTGTTCTTCTAGAGCTCCGTAGAAACCAGTACAATGCCAACTTTTACCTTCTGTATCCATATCAATCATATCATTTATATGTGAGTCCGAAAAAGATCTCACAGAAACAACACAATCCTCCTTCCACGCTAGACTAAGCCCTTCAGAACTTCCACGCGCACTAACTTCGATCCCACACTGAAAGCCACATGACTTATGGATTTGCTCCATACGCGATCCTTGTAGCTTTGTTTCAATGAAAAAAGTTACCGTGGAGTTAAAATCCTTCGATGAATGCCGAAGTCGAAGCACTGCCCGGGATTTCCCTAACCCCCGGACGTTCCAGCTTAATATTTTCATTGCAACTGGCCAACCTGATTCTTCAGGCCTGCCGATTTCAAATTGTTCCCATTATTATTTTCTTATGTCTCTCCCACAGTCACTGGATTACTACGTTATCTCTTTCCACCATAAGGCTTTTCAAACTCCGTCTCTTCCTCCGCCACAGTCATCTCCATCTATCATCTCATTCGACCCCTTGCGGACATATTCTCAACCCATAACCTCATCTGACTCGACATATCCTGCCCCTCTGCACTGGTCTAACCCCTCCCTCCAACCGTTGCGAACATGCCCCCAATTCCACATTCTCTTCTCGTAGCCATGGGCTAGAAGAGACTCCTCTCCTCCGAGGAGGGGAACGCAAAGAGATATCTCATTGTGCTACCCATTTTTTTTTCGATTGTAACACTCGAGCAGGACATAAATTTTCGCCATGACCAAGCTTACCGCACAAAAAATAGAAAAGTCGCGATTTTTCATATTGAAAAGTGCTATAAACAGAACTACCTCCATGATCAGCAACTTTTTTCCGACATTTCAGCGGTTTTCGGACATCTACTCCCACCTTGATTCGAATACTGCCTTTGTACCCTAAATGTACTGCACTAGCATCGTACACTTTAAAGATACCAATAAAATTTCCAATATTCTTTGCTATTTGTTCAGAGATGTAACCTGTAGGTAAATTATCTAACAACATCCAAAAATTCACTATTTCCATATCTACTCTTCTTGGATCATCCCCTTTTCAATCAATGTAGAATCAAGATATACGAATTGAAATACCGTGGCCCTTCCATATCGATCTGATCCACATCTACCTCGTGGTACAGTCGAAATAGGTAACGACCTTCCCCTAATTCCGTTATTGAAATCCCACCAATAGGATGCCAAATATTAGCTAGCATAACTCTTATCGCCTGGAAATTGAAGACATTAGTGAGAAAACGACCCACGAAGCAATTATCCAGAGATAATTAAGCATCCAACGCCGATTGTTCTAATTCCAAAACTATGTCCTTATCCCCATCCACTTGTAAATCCCCCAAATCTCGTTCCACTTCAGACATCATCTTAAATCAACACCCACTAGACCAGATCATACAAAAAACTGAGAAAAACTCATAATATTGACAATTTGTCAAAGAAGACGACGTACCAAACTGGTCTAGAGAACCGTAACGCAAAGGGTTTTGATATGTATTTATACCTCTTTAAAATCTTAAATTAAGAGTTATTTGCTTCCAATTTAAATAATTATTTATTTATAAACGATTAATATGCGTAAAATACATATAAATCTGCCAAGAGTATCCTGTTTCTATTTAAAAAGTCATAAATAAAGTAAAAGTAAGAAATAATATAATGTATACAGTAATATTTTACCTATAATTATATAATTTCTTCGATATGAATTTATCGAAAACTTATTACAACAACAACAACAACAAAACTCAATTCCCATATGTATGAGGTAAGGGGGAGGTAGGGTAGTAGGCTACCCCCAACGCCAGGTTGAGAGTAACTTCCGTGGAAGACCTCCGGCAGTCAGAAAATTAAAAATTTAGATAAAATGCAATGCATGTATAAATAAATACATAAATACATAGCTAAACAGTATTCATACGCAGTCATTAAAATCATATGTGCGTCTGTAACGGGAATTAATCCCTGCATAATTATCCCTGCGAAAGAATCTCTGCATATAGACATAAACATAAGATAAGATCCGGCTAAATTTAAAAGAGGAAACATGAAGAGAATGATACACAGAAGTCAACGTTAGCAAGCCCAGTTCTAATCCTTCATAAATACTAATAACAGAAACGTATAAAAAGTATAAGTCATGGAAAATACTACAAAGACATTAAAAGAAGACAGAGATGATACACCCTATAGATGTGACCCACACTACTCGACTACCCTAGTCTTTAGCCTCCATATTTTCCTATCAGAGGTCATGTCTTCGGTAAGGGCTAAATTCCTCAAATCAGATCTCAAGCAGTCTTCCCACTTTCGCCTTGGTCGTCCTTTCCTTCTGGCACCGTCGACTGTAATCGACTCTACCCTCCTTACCGCATCCGACGGTAGTCGCCTAAGGACATGCCCAAACCACCGTAGTCTTCCCTCCCTCAATTTTTCGGAAACAGACACCACCCCCAAGGACATCCTAATAGCAGAGTTTGTCGTCATATCCCTCAGAGTCTTACCACATGTCCATCAAAGCATTCTCATTTCTGCGGCCTCAATCCTCCTTACGTGATCCTTCTTGGTTGCCCAACATTCTGATCCATACAACAGCGCTGGTCTTATTGCCATTCTATAAAATTTTCCCTTAAGTTTTAGAGGGACCTTCTTGTCACACAGAACTCCAGTAGCGGCCCTCCACTTTAGCCATCCCGCCTTTATACGGTGTGTAACGTCATCATCTACACCCCCATCTTTATGTATCATAGACCCTAGGTACTTGAAACAATCCTTTGAGGGGAGAACGTGTCTTTCTATGCATACTTCTACATCTTCATCGTTTTGGTTCCCATTGAAGTTTGAACATAAATACTCTGTCTTTTCAATATTGATCCTTAAACCTTTTTCTTCCAAAGCAGTCTTCCAGGTAGTCAGTCTACTATTCAACTCAGATTTTGTTTCAGCAACTAAGACAATGTTGTCAGCGAAAAGCATACACCATGGTACACCGTCTGGTGTCGCACAATAGATGTCATCCATGATCAAGGCGAAGATGTAAGGGCTAAGAGCCGACCCCTGGTGGAGTCCGATTTCCACCGGGAATGCCTCGGTGTCGCCAACTGTAGTCCTGACGTAAGTAGTAGATCTACAGTACATATCACGAATCGCCCGGATATAAGCAGTTGGGATCCGTCTCGTTTCCAAAGTCTTCCAGATCGTATCGCGGGGAACACTATCATAAGCCTTCTCAAGGTCAATGAACGCCATGTGAAGATCTCTAGACTTTTCCCTATATTTCTCCATAAGCCGTCGAAGTAGATGAATCGCCTCCGTGGTAGACCTGCCTGGCATAAAGCCAAATTGGTTTTCCGAAACCCTAGTAACTTGTCTCAACCTAGCCTCTATCACCCTTTCCCATAGCTTCATGGTATGGCTGAGGAGTTTAATACCTCTGTAGTTACCACAACGTTGGGGATCTCCTTTATTTTTATAGATTGGTATCACCGTAGACTCTCTCCACTCCTCTGGCATCTTGGCAGTCTCTAGAATAATATTAAAGATGTTGGTCAACCACTTAACTCCCTCTTCTCCTAGGGCCAACCACACAGTGATAGGAATTTGATCAGGACCGACAGCTTTGTCCCTTCCCATCTTTCTAAGAGCCATTTTGACTTCCTCAAACCCAATCCTACTTGTAGGGCAGTCATTGGCCGTAGTATGATAGTCGGCTAACCCATCAACGATACTATCTCTACATGGAGAGGCACCGTCATTAAATAAGCTAAAGAAGTAACTACCCCAAACCCTCTTAATATCGTGATCTTTCGCTAAAAGAACACTATTGTTGTCCTTAATAAACCTAATGTTACCTAAAGAGTGAATCATTGTCCCAATATCGAAAACTTATTATTTTACCTAAAGAGTGAATCATTGTCCCAATATAATAAAATAATATATGGAGTATAAAAGAGGGGAAATTCTAACAAAGTTTACTTATGCTTGAGAGCAGCAGATATTTACCATCGATTTTCTTTTTCCTTAAAAATTTCTATTCAATTGAAAAAATAAGAGAGGATGGAAGGAGACGATGTAGACATGGCTGCTGCCGAATCCACTGGGGCTGTAATTTTTTTTATTTTTTTTTTGCAAATTTGTTGTATTTTTATTTTTATTGTTACATTGTTATTAGTGTTTTGGGTTTTTCCCATTTTAAGAAAACCCTAAAATTCTATGCAAAATGCAGGATCTCGATGATATGAAAAGGAGGTTAAAAGAGATGGAGGAAGAAGCCGCTGCTCTTCGTGAGATGCAAGCTAAGGTCGAGAAAGAGATGGGCGCCGTACAAGGTTCCCCCCACTTCTATTTTCTTTATATCTGTTGCAGATTTTGCGTTTAAAAAAAAAAGATATTGTAGTTATTAATTTGAATATAAATAGTTTGATTGACACGCTTTGGATTTTGTCTTGCGGGTTCTTATAATTGGGTTTTGATTTGTAATGTGTGGTATGATAAAAAAAAAAGGAAAAAGCTTTCCAATTGAAAGCTAATCCCGTACGGTTTTTAAATTTCATATTCTAAATGTTGATATTGCCTGGAATGCTGAATCTATAGGGTAAGTGTATCGCACAAGATGAAGATCACCTTCTATCTTTTCCTGCTTTAATTTAAGTTGAATCTATATTTTTTCTTGTGGGAAATAATTGAAATCACAACAATTGAGATCATTGTCAATGTTTATTTCTATGCAAATAGATCCTGCTGCTGGTGCAACTGCATCTCAGGCAAATCGAGAGGAAGTGGATTCCCGATCAGTCTTTGTCGGCAATGTGAGTCCTCTTTCCCTTGTTTTTTTGTTGCTTGCCTTTTGCATGTCTCCCAAAAAAGTGTTAATGCTGCTTCTTTGTTATTATTTTGATCTCGGGAAGTTGATTGGACGAGTTCAGTTTTAAGTCGTAATGCCACAAGCCCACAATTTAACCATTTTCATGTAGTGGGAAATTATTTTTTTGCTTTTTCCCCATTGATTATGAAATTAGCATCTGATTTAACTGTGCAACATATGGTGACTTAGTGACTGCTATTTCTAAATAATAGAGGTGAATATACTCATTTTCTTCCTTGTAGTCAACTTCAGTGCTTTCAGGCTTCATTCCCGGAAGCCTTTGTGTTGCCTGTAAGGACTTTTAATTAGTTTTAGTATGAAACTGATCTCGCTGAAACTTACCATACGACGTGCTTTAGGTACAACCAAATTTTATTAATATAGCATCATGTAAACTTCTGCATAATACTTGAAAGATTCTTATTCCTAAATCCTAACTAATTTAGCCAGGATATGTTGGCTTAAAAATAATAATAGTAACTGAGCCAGCCTACAGTAGCTCTGGCATTCAGACCAATCTTCATAGATGAAGCTTAAATCTGGTTATAATTAAAATTGAGTTAACGAGTGTCCAGCTGCATTAGTGCTTCTTGTTGATGATCTGGATTAAAAGACACTACCAAGCATTATCTTATTGGCTAGTGTTACAGTCATGTTTGAGGAGCACCACATGCATGAGGAAACCAGCCATGGATTGCTGTGTAGTCCTCGACTGTTTGTTTGAGCATTGAGTATGACAAAAATGAACTATACTTGAATCAGACAGTCATTTGGAGCACAAGAATGAGTTTTGAATACAGCGTTTGTTAGTACTTTAAAATTCACTGCAATGGAAACTTTTCACTCAACTTCGGTTCCGTTTGAGTCCTATTGACCACTTTTATTTGAATTTCAGTTCTGTATGATATTTCCATTATGGAAAGAAAATGCAGATGCAGAACAGCATTGAGGGAGATAATTTGAGTGTTTTCTTTTCTATAATATAAGTTGTCATAAAATGTTCTCATGAATTATTGATGTATGGACGCTTCTTGCTTTCTTATCATTGTTGTAGAAAAATGTGGCGGATTTTCTTCTTTAGTGTGGTTTTCCAAATGAGCTTTCCCTAGTTTGGTCGTATAGGGTTGACATGGCCTTGATATAGCATTGGTCCAGATTTATGTCTTAGTGAACTGGGATTTATTCCTTAAATGTGCTGTCCTCTCCTTAGTCCTTACCTTTACCAAATTAATGCACTTTGAGGTCTATTAAATATTATAGGAGTGAGCAGTGTCTTTGAAATCCAAAATTGTAGGATTCGATAACAATGCTGCTAACTAGGAGGGTTAGAATATGGTAACTTGACGACATTCTCTTCATGGCATATTTAACTACAATGGACAACCCAACAGGTTTAATTTGATAGATGTGGAAATTTATTTAAGCTTAATGTACCTTTTTTCTCTTCTCACTGCCCTCGCATAGAAACACTGCAACTTCCTATCTTGTGACTACAAGTAAGCATTTCCTTTATGTATCAAATATAAAGTTCGAGCATTTAGCATGCTGAAGGATTCTCAGTTTAGAATCCTTTGTTGACTCTAGCTTTTACTACAATCGCAGGTGAAGCTTCATTCAAGTTTTTCTGATTTATTATCTGGGGTCGGGTGAAAATAGCCAATAGAAACGTTCTTGAGCTAGGAAAACATACATGTCATACTATATTTATGTGATTAAGAGAGAGGGTAAAAGCCAGTGTGTTAAAAGTTGGGTCAAATTTTGAAAGAAAGAAAACTTGTAGCCTTTCAGTAAACAGAATATCTGAAGGCTGGGAAAAAAAGTTTTACAAAAAGCATGTAGAAGAAAGGATTTTGCAAAAGTCCTTGAATTGACTACTGTAGATAGCTGGAAAAAGTGAGGAAAAAAGGTATTACCATTGTAAAATTCTTGTCTTGGTTTTTACTTGAGCACTTGGCCTGGGATGGATGGAGAAACAAATTTTCATTCAAGATTCCTGAAATCGGTGTCAAATCAGTTGAAAGGATTCCCTTTGCTGAGTAAAGACTAGCGGTGGATATTTGCAGTTTTATTTGCAAACCACAGTGGTGCTTTTGCTGGTGCTCTATGCTCTTCTTATGGTGAGGGGTCTTTGATCACTTTTTATTTCATCACTTGGGATAAGTAGGGATGACTCGTTTTTTTTTTCTTTTCTCGTAACCATATTTTTCTTTAGTCTTACCACCTCCTTACCCCTAAAAATGGAAACAAAAAATGAACAAAGAAATAATAACCTAAAAATGGGATAAGTTGGGAGGCTTCCGGCTTCTAATTATTTATTCTGTAAATTAATATTATCATATTTTCTTTGGTTATTATTGTTTATATCATTTATCTATGTGTTGACCTCATCTATCGTCAGTTTCTTGTGTGAGTGTTAATTGCTCAAGAAATTTTAACCATTGGCTTTCTTTAGTTTGGCTCCTTAATAGAAACACCAGAGCACATTGATCAGTTATGTAAGCTAATAATTGGTCTTTGTCGAGGCTGATGTTATCTTTGTTGCAAAGGTGATTAGTAGGTAGATGCTTGCTGCACAGGTGATCTTGTTGGCTACTTTGTCTCTATTTTGAACAATGATTGCCACTTGTTGCTGTAATTATTAATTTTTAGTATTCTGTTGTGCTCATTTCACTGGCTACATTTAAAACATTCTGAGAATGCAGGTCGATTATTCATGTAGTCCTGAAGAAGTTCAACAACATTTCCAGTCTTGTGGGACTGTAAATAGGGTTACTATTCGTACAGACAAGTTCGGCCAACCAAAGGGTTATGCTTATGTAGAGTTTGTTGAAGCCGAGGCTGTTCAGGAAGCTCTTTCTTTGAATGAATCTGAACTTCATGGAAGGCAGTTGAAGGTAAAACATAATTGTCCTTCTCCATTCTCTTGCCTCATTTTCTTTTCCTATTATCTTCTCTTGCCTCATTTTCCTTTTCTGTTATCTTCCCTTGCCTCATTTTCCTTCGAGATTAAGAAAACAGTGGCTGCATCAAGGAAAATTGTAAAATACCAATGGACTTGGGGTATCTTCTTTAAAACTTTCATTTCTTTGTAGGTAACCGCTAAACGTACCAATATACCTGGGATGAAACAATACCGTCCACGTCAGTCCAACCCTTTTATGCGACCTAGAGTTCCATTCATGGCTCCACATTTTTTTGCTCCTTATGGATATGGGTATGTCTTGCAGATGTGGTACCAGTAGATTTCGATATTGTACTTTTGTGTTTAGGTTTGCAACCTCAATAAACGATGTTAACACCATCCTATATGCTCTGCAGGAAGGTTCCGAGGATGAGAATGGCAACGCGTTACAACCCCTACTATTAGGTACTCGGACAATACTAGTTGTTCGAAGCGTTTGGGAAGTTTATAAGTGGTTTTGTTTCATCGAATTGAGTCGATTTGCCAAAACTATTGCTACAAATTCTGGTCTACTTCTATGATATGTTTGATCTGGGCAAAAATTATGTTTCTGCTGTGTTGTCTAATATAGACATGTTTTTTCCCCCTGATGTTGAGCGGCCCCTTTTCAATATTTGGCTGAAGTCGTTTGGCCTCGTGCTTATTTCTCTAGAGTATTGGGTTGGTCGATGCTAATCATTTCAAAGGAATTACAAAGAGATTAATAATATGAATGTACTCGCAGCATGATGGAGTAGTGGTCAAGTCACTTGTTAGTATTTTAAACGTCTAGTATTAGAACTCTACCATTGTAATTCTTGGAAAAAAGAGTTAAATTGTAGTAGATCTCATAAAATTCTATATTATTACGTGTAATTATAATATTAAATTTTAACTTTAACTTTAATTAGTGTTATCTATATTATTACTTTAAATTATAATATTAAATTCAGACTTTAACTTTGACTCAATAATGATATGAAAAATAATATCGTTTTAGTACAATAATTGATGGCTAGATCAAAATATTATTTTACACTACTTTCTAGAAGTATATTGATTTTATCATCAAATTTTTAAATAATTCAATTTCCGACATTATATTTTTTTTACTCGATAAAAAATCATCATCCACTTTGTGTCGGCTTTCATAATAAAATTATTATTTAAATATTAAAAATTTAGTCTTAAAATTTCTTTTCATAAAATTAATTCAAAATCGAATATTTTTATTATTATTATTTTTAAAATTTTACAACTTCTTTATTTTAAGTTTTTTGGCAAACATTATTAACTTATGTATGATTATTATAAATAGAAATTTTAATTAGATTAATCGGTGTGACAAACATTAACCCATAGAAAACGATAATTTGTTGAATATTTGTATATATTATTTATATCTCACGTTCACATATTTTGTTTTCCTTTTGCACACCAAACCGGAATCGCTGAGATCTTGGGCACTAGAATTCTACCCATCACGTGATACCATACCCCTACAACAAGCCATACATACAACACTCCAAGTATCTACATACGCTTCCCAATCACTATCTCCACTCGACTCCCGCCACGTGTCCCATCAAACCAGCGTTTTACACGCCGACGTCTGAGGATCCCACATCGCCGGCAACAAGTACTTCCGGCCTTTAACGCCGTTTGCATTGTAGCTCGCCCCGGTGCTCTTCTCCACCAAGAGAGTACCCGGATAACCCGGGTACGAACCCGACCCGAACTTCCCCGTGCAGGCCGAAACCGCCTCCAACGGCGCGTTGGCCGGTCCCTGGAAATACCCGTTATTAAACGGATTGGTGACAGTGTTAGCCAAAAGGGTGGCCAAGTTGATGATCATGCCGTCAACCCCAACGTCTCCGTTGGGAGCAACTAAAGGCGGCGTTTGGGGACCATAAATAGGCTGGTGAAACGGCCAGGCGCATTCACCCGGACACTGAGTCTCCGAGTTACCTACCCAGATAAAGGCACTACGAACCGGACCACGGGTAGACCCGTGAGTCCCGCACCTCATGCAAAACCCTTCCACGGCGACGTCTTTGGCCGTGAGGATGATGCTGATAGTATCCACGCCGTTAAATTTCCCGGCCAAAGCCGGCAGGTGTGGGTTCTTAAGGATTTTACCGAGCGGGTAGTTTTCAAAGAGGACTTGCTTGCCCACAACTAAGGTTGATGAACCGCTCTTGTATTTCTCAGTCGTTTTCCACCATGAAGACGCCGATGGAAGCTTGAGGTTGCCGGAACTCACCGAGTTGATGAAATCGACGATTATGGAGCGTTGGGCAGGTGTAAACTTGCCGTACCATATGAGATTGACGGTGATTTTTCCCTTTAGAAGAGGGCCGTTGTGGTACTTCAACACCAGAGGTTGCTCTTGAACCAGCTCCGAGAAGGAGAAAGGGATGATACAGAGGAGGAAGAAAGTGGCAAGTTTGTAAACAGAAGCTGCCATTGTTTTAGTTATGGGGAAATCTTGAGAAAGATTTTCGACTCCGAGAGTTAAAGACGAGAGGGAGTTGCTTTATACGGAGATTTTGGGGAAAGAAGACGTGTCAACGTCAGACAGATGTGACGTGGATAGGGGCTCTGCCAGGCTGGCTGGTCAGGAGTTAAAACGGTGACGTGGCGGTCTCATTAGGGCAAATATTACAATGGGGGACACAACTATTAGATAGGCTGGTCCAGACAATCAGCACCATGACTCTCGGAAAATTATTAAAACAATGAAGACACGCCTCATGATATATTTTAATCTTATCTCCTGAACGCTGGGACCACTTTCACGATTCTTCATGCACTTGATTATCCATGGGTCTAATATCGGTTTTAGTCCCACAACTATACCAACATTTTAGATCTAATATTTTCTAATTTGAACTTGATTATCTATTTTTTAATGTTATTAGTTGTTTTTCCACTAATAACAACTTTTGTAGCTGTAGTTGAAGTGATGGAATTAGTATTGTTTTTTAACTATATTAAATTGAAATATGATATTAAAATTCATGGTATCGTATAGTAAAGTAGTGTTTTGAAAATCGGACCGGATCGATCGATTTAATCGGTTTAATCGGGAATCGTTATCTAGTCCGGTTTAATCTAGACCGGTTGAATCGCTACTAATGAACTGGCCGGAACCGTTGAACCGTTAAAATTAGACCGGCTGAAAATCGGAAAAAACTAGGAAAATCGAAAAAAAAAACTGCTAATTTTGTTTTTTTTTAAAATTAAACCAAACGACGTCGTTTGTTAAACGAGCCAAGTCGAACTCGAGTATTGCTGAACTCGACTCGAACTTGAAAAATTTAAAAGTAAGCTCAACTCGACTCAAACTCACGAGCTAAAAATTATCAAGTTCAACTCGAACTCGAAATATAATATTGAAATTTGAACTCGAAAAGGCTTGAACTCAAAAAATTTAGAAGCTCGATTGAAGCATAAAATTCGAGTTTGATTGAAGTGAAAGAATAGTTTACTCAATGCTCACCAAAAGGCTTCATGATTTTGAATGTCAAACTATCTCTACTATTTATAGAAGTAAGTTGGGATGATCTTCTATATTTCTTAGTTATGTGAGATTATTTTTAAAAAAAAAATTAAACCAAACAATATCATTTTGTTATGATTTTTTAGCCCCAAATTTATTTATTAATTATAGTTATATAATTATATTTATTATTTAATATGTTTTACATTAAATATTATGTTGTAGTTAATTTGAATCATTTTGTTTCACTTGATTTTATGGTTTTTAACTTATATATGTTATGACTTGCTTTGAATATGAATTGTGATATAAAAAATTATTTTTTATTAAATATTTTTGGTATTTTTATTTAATTTTTTAAATAATTATGATGTCGTTCGGTTCTTCCGACCGGTCAAATTAATTCGATCGATTGAACTAATGAACTGGTAGCATGACCTGTTCGTTAACAGATCTGGTTCTGAAAACCATATAATAAAGGGACTAAAATAAGCATTGGACAAAAAATGAAATAGTGAAAGTTGGGCGAATAGGCTAAGGCGTACTGCAGCCTAAACTACAGTAGAGCGTGATAATTAAAGGGTGTGGACAGGGGTGGCGCAAGTGAATGATGACATAATAAGGTTCAGACTTCCATAACTGTAGGGTTTTTCTCATATTTTCAGAACAATGAAACGGTTCATTAAGGAGAACCGGATCGAAGAGGGTGGGTGAGGTAATTCCTGTTTTTTTTAAATTAAATTAATATATTATAAATATAAGGTAGTATTTATTTAAAAATAAATTTTTAATCTTATAATATTAATCGTTCACACTTTTAGTATTTATGGTGTTTGAACTTGAATTTTTAAAAATAATAACAATAATTTTAAATTAATATACTTTATATATATTTAATTGATAATTTATTTTTGTGTTTTAAAATTTTAAAAGTTTGTTTTCTAACCTAAAATGTTGTGTTAGTCTCTATTCTCATGAGCGTTTATGGTCCTTCAAAAATTCATTTGTTGTCAATCTATCCTTAAAGACCTAACGTTGTTTAAATTTTCCAGAAATTTTTTTGAAGATTAATCTGAAATTATATACGAAGATAAATACTTTTCAAATTCATATTCAAAGTTCAAACAATTATCTTTTTTAATAAAATATTTCAATTACACACAACATTTCTTGAAAATATCATTTTTATTTTCCCGATGAGTGTATATGTTTTTATTAGAAAATAAAAATTAATCTGACATATTAAAAGTGTTTATTTTAGAAAAAAAATAAGAAAAAAAAAGTGAAAAAGGTGAAGAAGAAGGGAAGGGATGATTCACGTGCGGAAGTGAGGGAGTGTATACAAGACGACAAAATTTGAATTAAAAAGAAAGAATGGGAGGCAAATCACACGTGTTGAGAAATGAAGGAGAGGTCCCGGCCCGTACACAATTTTTTTTAATTCAATGTATTGTACTTTTGTACTCTCGGGTAGTTTTACGCTTTAATATACGATTAAAATAAAATGTTATTATTTTTGTTATTATTTTAAATAAAAAATTAATTAAAAATAATCGAAAATATTATTATTTTATCAGTTTTAATTACCGTTAGTTAACTAACAATGTTTATCCGGTTAGGGGCATTTTGCTTTAAATAAAACGTTGGGAGTAAAATGATCTAAAAAATAATAAAGTGATTATTTGTGTAAACGTTGGTGGTAATTTTGTTATTATGCCTATATTTTTTTATGGATACATATATGTTATTTATAAAAATCTTTTGTATATGGTGGACACAAATAAAATTTAAAAATGAGTACCACCAATAAAATGAATAGCTAACATAAAAAATTGAATTTCAAGGTAAGTATGCACATTCGCTAAGTAAGCCTTGCATCTGCCACTATCTAAAATAGTTATAAGTTAAAGTTTTCTTTTTTTAAAAAAAAAATCTAGGATACTTACAGGTAGTAGTATTTATCTCGAATTTGAAATCTCTAAAGATAATAATCATTTCTTTAACCACCGATATCGTTTGATTCATGAAAATACAGAAATACAAAAACATATGAAATATAATTATAATGTTAGATATTTTCAGAATACATGCATTTCATTAATTTATTTATAAAGTGTAAATATTAAATGTGATATTATCTCTTAACAAATGAACTATTAGGTTGTAAATCAAAAATTAACAGAATTAACAAATTTTGAAGTTCTTGATCATGTGCATTCAAGTTCAACTCCTTTTTTTGGTATAAAATGCGTGAATTAATTTTAGATTTTATTTTGATCAAATCTTATTATATATATATATATATATATTAATATATTTTAATTATTAAATGATTATATTTATAATAATTAATTCTAATTAATATTGATTGAAGTATACAAATGCTCCCGACTATAGCGCGTTACTTTGTTGAATCATCCGAATATTAAAAGTATAAAAATGATCCTCAAACTATATGACTTTGTTGTGTTGAGTCACTTGACTATTAAAAGTTATAAAATGATCACTTGACTATTAAAAGTTATAAAATGGTCACTCGACTATTTATATGTTCCAAACTCGTCATTTTTCGTAAAAAAAAATTGATGATAGTTTGAGTTGAACATTAACATGGTGACTGAGATATGATAAAATCTCATCTCAGAATCTCAATGGCTATCATACCAAGTCAACATGTTAATGTCCAACTTAGACGACCGTTAATTTTTTAACAGAAAAATGACAAGTTTAAAATATATAAATAGTTAAATGATCCTTTTATAACTTTTAATAATTAAAGGCTTAATAAAAATACCTTATAATTAAATAATTATTTTATAATTTTAATAATAGATAGATTCAATAAAAAAATATAGTATATACCATTTATGTACTTTAATATTTTAGAATAGTATCTCCTTCTCCAAATTCATAAGACACGAGAAAATGATTTTTTTATGTAAACTTTTTCTCTTAATTTTTGTGGCAAATGGTAAAAAGAGGATGCATGAATGAGGTATAGAGCAATCATTTTTGTGGGGGTTGATATGACCTACATCAGATTTAATTATGCACGGATGTACACACCCAATAATAAAAAGAGAAAAAGAGAAACCAAAATTGTGATGGAGGGTATACTTTGCGTGCTCTATTTTGTCAACCTACACTACCCTTATAATAAGTGGCGGAGCCACAGTTGTAGTTCTGATTTTATTAGTGATTTATTTTATCGATAATATTTATTTTAAAAATATTTAAATTATCTTAAAATTAAATTTGTTTGATTAATTATTTATTTTATTAATTATATTTATCTTAAAATTTTATTTACATTCATTTTATTTAAAAATTTTATACTACTAACGTATGTGTTTCTATCCTAAAAAATATAATTGAATCCGCCACTACTCATACTTCATTATCAACTTACATGTCACGGTTTAATAATAAAGTTTAAGGATTTTCAATTTTATATAAATCTTATTAATTTAATTATTCATATGTTTCAATTATTAATTTGTTCTATTATGAACCTGCATGCAGCATTATTATTAAATGCAATGAGAAGATAGGTCAAAACTAGGTTCATAAAAAAAATAGATGACGAATAAGAACCAATTGGCTGCATTTAAACCTTAAGATTAGGCCAAAAAGAGCCACCTATCTCGATACATATATACACAACCAACAAGGCAAGTTGATTCCTGAATTATTTCTGGAAATAACGAACAATAAATTACTAAGGAAATGAATTTGAGTTTTTTTTTAACTAATCTCTAGTATCCAATTTATTAAACGACTAATACATATTAGATACTACAGAGACAATGACGATCATTCTAATCTAATTTATTTTATTTTCAAACGTTATAGGTTTGAACCCTAACCTTGGTTGTTGGTAAATGAGATAGAAATGAATGAACTTTTCTATCACCGACATCTAATATGTTAATTGATTAAAATAAATCAAGCATTAGAGAGATTTATTATAAGGGGATTCTTCTAACTTAATTTATTATTTACAATACCAAAATTAAAA